GCCAATGCTGCAAAAAGGACTCTTCCAAGAATTTCCGTGCTTCTCGCATCCAGGTGCTTTCCACGGCCTTCACTAGATCATCGGTTCACTGAGTGGTAGGGACGCCTGCCTACATTACAGTTTCCGGTCGGTGGTCGACAATCTTGAGCTAAGTGATGCATAAACGAATGCAATAGGCAGAGATAATTTTTATTTGCATATGCTCGCTTAGCTTAGGTCTCATGTTGATAGAAAGTTGAGAAATCAGTCTCAATAGAAGTGTTGACACCACCAATCAATTGACGTACTTTTTAAAACTTGTCAAAACGAAACTCTCCCATAGATTTTGTATGGCACTACAAGCAAGTGACGTCACTATTTTGTCAGCTCAAATAAACTACTTTTTAAAATTACAATGCGACCAAAAATCGTAATTTACAGGTAATTTAAAATTAATTAAGTTTTTAAGACAAGAATGAAGTGTCTTTTTAGAAAAGTTGTGATTTCGAATTATTATAGGGAATGGTGTCAAATTGTCTATTTGCAGTTACAGCAAAACAGCTAATCCAATTTTAAGGGATTACTTTTAGGTTGATTGAAATTTTGGGTGTCATAACCACATGTATTAGATGACCTAAAAGTTAGTTCGTTAATATGTAATTTCAATAAAATTATAGTTCCTTTATAATTCATCCGTGGAATAATAATATACTTATGCATGATGATAGCGTACCATCCCTACATTGTCGACATATCACCAGCTCGCTTGAAAACAAGTTGTTTGTTAAAGGCTACTGAAGTAAACGACTAACACCCGTATTCACAAACGATGCTTGCTTAAGTGAAGCAGCAAATAGAACGCATAGCGTTGAATAGAGCTCTGTGACTGGTGCTTGTGTAACCCTGTGCGTCCAAGCGCACTGTGAGACCTCATAGTAATGTTTTTGAATACGGGCTTAAGTATTATCTGTGGTATTATCAACAAAGCAATCAGCAATAGAAAACTACTCACTAGCAAAATTGATTTCCAAATTAATTTTCCATTTGTAAAAATTATCGTTACTACGAATATAAACGATTTAGACGGATTATTACTACAACGAAGGTCAAAAGATCGGTAATTTGCGTCGGGTCTGCGTAAACGCAACTCCATTCAATTTAAGATTTCGACGAAGCTGATCAATTGCTTATAATAATTGGAAATCTTAAAAGTAGTGGATTAACAAGAGGGTATAGCCTCGAAACAAAATAAACCTTAAATAATATAGACTTTTCTATTAGACTAGCAGCCGCCCGTGACTTCGTACGCATGGATCCCGTTTTACCCCCTTAGGAGTTGAATTTTGCAAAATCCCGTCTTAGTGAGCACCCACGTTCTAAAAGGAACCCCCATGCAAAATTTGAGACTCCTAGCACTTGTAGTTTCTGAGATTTCGTGATGAGTGAGTCAGTCAGTGACTTTTCGCTTTTACAGAGTACAATAGGAACTATTAAAAGAGCTACACTTAAAAAAAAATATTTCAAAAGTTAAGGTAGTGTAATCTTCATAAGTGCCTAAATTACAGATAATTTGGTTTGCATTTTTTAACATTGAATGGTAACATTTAGAATGTCATAGAGAAAAATAAAATTTCACTAACGATAATGCTTAGGAAGTGTTTAAAGAGTTTATAGCTTTACTTAATTAAATTGAAAAACCAGTCTACGCGGGCAACTACCATTTTTATTTAAACAAAAACACGAAGGAGTCCGTTCTTAAAGTCCAGTACAAACCCAAAGTTACGACCTCGGTTGTTAAATGCTCCATGATCTATGGAAGACCTCAAAAAATCTTGTATAATTTTATAAAAGCGAAAGGAGTCACTCACTCATCACGAAATCTCAGAAACTACAAGTGCTACGAGTCTCAAATTTTGCATGGGGGTTCCTTTTAGAACGTAGGTGCTTACTAAGAACGGATTTTTACGAAACTCCACCCCTAAGGAGGTAAAACGGGATCCACGCGTACAAAGTCGCGGGCGGCCGCTAGTCGTGCACCTGACCTGAATAATACATTACAGTCGATAATATCATAAGACTTTATTTTATTGCAAATAATACAGTCCTGGCTGGTGTACTGCCGGTCGACTTCTAAAGGTACAAAAGCGTGCGGCTATGTACTTCGCATCAAGGGAAAATACAGGGTGTTTGGCGCATCGTGTGCCAAAATGATTTGGCGGATAGAATGGGTCATTTCCTATATTTTCACCCCCCATAACACGTTCCATGTCAGGCGGCTACTTTCATATTAAGTTTTTTAGTAATTTCACCAAAATACCCAAATCGCATCATTTAATTTCGATTTAAAAAAAAACTACTAAGCGTAGCCTCAAAGTAAATATTTTGTTTTGACGTGCATCGATATAGGGTTGCATCAAATCTAAATTTACTGGCAAATATCATCTAGTTTTTTTTTAATTCAGCTTTGAACTTTTCCGAAAAGTTAAAAATGGACTGAACATTTAAGTTTACATGGCTATAAAATATAACCTCCGATTTCTTAAATAGCCGCGATCGTTCTAAAATAAGTCAATTATTTGATTCCCGAGAAGTCGTTGAAGAAGAATTACTCAGTCAAAGGACGTCACTTATATAAATTCTTCCCGAATGTACGCGAACGTCTAACTAGGCGATGGTTAGAAATCGACCATTGCCTGTCGCAGTTCCTCACGGGACATGGCAACTTTAAACATAAACTTCACGAATTCAAACTAGTTCCGTCTCCTTTTTGCGAGTGTTCCACTGATGATGTCAGTCATGAGCAGTCTGCCCATCATATTTTGTGGGAGTGTGATCTTTGGAAACATGAACGTGATATAATGCTTAATTCAATACAACATACATCTGTTTCCGCAATTTATTACACCGATCTTGTTTTCGTGCTTTTAAGCGATTTTGTGAAAAATATTATTGGCAGGTAGTTGCTAATTGCTCATAAGATAGGCCCCCTTAATTTAATTTATTGTCCGTGGTGCCTAAGCTTTTCTTAAAGGTTTTATTTAAACCTTTGTTTGTCACCTGTCATCCGCTTTGCAATGGAGGGAAGTCGAACCTTAATTTCGAACTCCTCCTATGTTCTTCTGATTAATTTCGTTGCGGGTCCAATGACAGTTTAACTTTCCCCAGGGACAAACTTGAGCTTCATTGGTTGGGTTTTTGTGGCGGTCAAGCTGTAGATCCTGGCTACACAGGAGTTGCAGCGGTGGAAATAAGAGGTGGGAATAGTCCCATTATACCTACATAAATACTTCTCTCAGTTTTGTCACCTGTCATCTGCCTTGCACTGGAGGGAAGTTGAACCTTAATTTCGAACTCCTCCTATGTTCTTCTGATTAATTTCGTTGCGGGTCCAATGACAGTTTAACTTTCCCCAGGGACAAACTTGACCTTCATTGGTTGGGTTTTTGTGGCGGTCAAGCTGTAGATCCTGGCTACACAGGAGTTGCAATAGTGGTTGCGGAGCGGTGGGAATAGTCCAGTTATACTTCGGTACTTCTTTCAGTTAGGTAGAGTCTACCAGACCGCTACAGTTCATCAAAGAAAACATGGAAAGGTCATTGCCTCCGCGGACTGAAGCAACGACTGTTGCCCTAACACACGGCCGTTTGGGCAATCTGGCTGGTGCCACAGAGATGCGGTTGGAACGCCGAGGTTGGACTTGACTTGCCTACCTACTTGACTTAGGCTGAATTGCACCACAAACTTTAACGGTAACTATAACGATAACTGGTGTTTTTTGTAAGGAGTTTGACATATTTTTGACGTTTGTCAAAGGTAAAGTAAGATCTGCATCATCTTAGGCTGAGTTGCACCATCTTGCTTTGACTTTAACAAACGTCAAAAATTGTGTCAAACTTCATACAAAAAACACCGGTTGTCGTTAAAGTTACTGTCAAAGTTAGGTGGTGCTACTCAGCCTTAATGTCCTAAGATGTCCCCTATATGAGGCAGAGGGCGTCCACAACAGTCCTCCGTCGCGTTATGTCTTGAGCTTCGCTTTTGATCTCGCTCCAAATCATTCTGATTTTAACCGCGGTTGGGATGGCATGTTTTTAACCGACTACAAAAAGTAAGAGGTTCTCAATTCGGCTGGTATTTTTTTGTAAACGATGTAACATTAGATAAGGAAATCGTTGTCGCTTTGCTTGGGCCTACTGTTACGTAAAAAGTGATGGATTGATAATAAATGTGATTTCATAGAATTAAATGTATAAAAAATTGTTTAGAGAATCTGTATGAAGATGTACGAGTATTAATGGTATTCGATCTTTATTACAATCATATTAGGATAATTAATTGGACTGCTCTACAAATGATTTTATCTGGCAGCTTTATTTTTTTTAATGTTTTTTTTTTACAAGTTTAAATGCTGAAAATGATTCACGTTACTTTTTAACCCTAAAAGAATCAAATACATAACTTTGCCAGTTAAAATAAAATGTAAACCTATTACTTTTATTGTTAGTTCAAAATAAGTTTCAAACGCGACTCTATCGTCCACCTTCGCTGAAACTTGATGATTTTCCGGCGCTGTCTCCTCGCTTTGATTTGGTGATGAATTAGTATGGATAAGACTTTAATAGACAAAAATTAAAGGTAATTTAATAGACAAACGACAAGTCTTTGTAATAATAATGAAGAAAGGAAACGTTTATAGATTTTGTGGTCGATCCTCATCGATTAACAAATATTTCAGTTTATTTACATTCTACCATTTTCTCACTGCCAGGTCAGCAATCAAGGCGTGAAATGCAATAAATATACAAACAGCTAAATCTTTCTCAAATTCAAAGATCATCGCAAATCGGTAAAAAATAATGAATATTTTTCACGACTTCCAAGTCACGTCCATACAAATCCAACAGTCCACGGACCACCGCGGCGTAGAGAATCATTTTACAAACAATATAAATAATAGTGATTGTCCGTCCGCGATCAGTCTGCCGTGCGCCGGCGCATAGTAACAACACACCAATGCTGCCATGAGGCCTCCAACTATGCACCTGTACTTCACAGTACTTATAGCAGTAGTTCACGCGTTAAGTATAGAAAAAGTGAGTGATAAAAATAATGTGACCAAACGTGCGGCTAATGGAGACTTCTTCCCAGACTGGGTGCCGTTCAAAAATAAACACGGCGATGAGTTGGGAGAGTTTCAGCAAGTGACCAAAGCGAAACCTAAGAAACGGCTCGCTCCGCCCGTTAACTTCATCCTCAGAGCAGTAGCCGAGCCTGAAGGTGATGATTATTATGATAAAGGTCAAGGAGAGGGCGGCGATGGTGACGAATACTTCGAGAAAAAAGATTGGTCGGATCTCAACAGACCTGCCGAACCTGTTGATGGCGTCAAAGTAGTGAACCACACGGACATTTCTGATATTGATGGAGTCGTCGATATAATTACCAAAGGCAAGCCAAGTGTCATTTTGAACGCATTACAGTTGCATAATAATTCGAAAAAACAAAGTCAAGAAGTCCGTGCGCCTGTGAAACCAGTCCAACCTGAAAGTGATGTCAAAGAAGAAAAAGAGGAAGAAAAGGAGGAAAGAGAAGAAGAAACCACGAGCAAGGAAGAAACTAAGAAAAAAGCTGACAGCAAAGAGGAAAAGCCAATTGAACCAAGAAAACCTAAGAAGATTAAAAGATACGAAGATGATATTGATTACGAAGAAAGCGATTCAGAAAAACAAAAACCTGAAGTAGTTGAAGATGACCAGAGTGAGAATGATGCCAAGAAAGCCAGTATCCTTGACAGTGTAGACGAGCTAAAAGAACGGCATGCGGAAGAACAAAGGGCCATTTCTGAAAAAGTGAAAGAGGAGGAAATATACACAGAAGAGCACGAGAGAAATAAAATTGGAGTTCGTGAAAAACCTGATAAGTATGATACTCGCGGGCGTAAAAAAGACTCGGACTATGACGAATACGACGAAAAAGAGGTGTCAGTTCATGAAAAATACAGGATGCATTCTTCCAAAGTAACAACGACAACACGACGACCTAAAACTACAAGGCATAAAGGCAAAAAGAACGAAGAGGTAGGAAAACTGTCGGTGTTCAAAAACCCTCAGTTGTACATGGTTTATGATGACGACAGCGAAGATACGACCACGACTAAGAAACCGACGACTCGATCACGAGCCCATTCGAGGTACTCCTCAAAATTTACGACAGCTACCCCTGAGACTGAGGAGAATGTCCGCATCTCCCTTGTTCCCCAAGATTCCGAAGCCAAAGAAGGAGAACCTACACTGTTCTTTCCGAAGACAAGAAAGAACAAAAAGAAGCGTAAGAACAGGACCACGACTCCTGAGCCTGATTCGTTCGTGGCTGAGACGGTGGCAGGGTCTTCTGCGAAGGACTTGACCACTGCTGTAGACTTCACCAGCCCATCAGGTGCTGATACCACTGGCTCAGGGACTGGTATAACGAGCTCAGGGACTGACACTACAGCTTCGAGTCCTGACACGACGGCGTCAGGCTCAGCAGTGTCGGCTTCTGATGCACTAGCAGCGACCAATGGTGCGACTGATGCTGTACCAGCGTCTACCGACCACAAAGATGAGAAGAAAGAGGAGGACTACCATAAAGAGAAGGGTGAGTGCTTGTAATCTACTTTAGGTTTAGCTTTAATAGGGGTATTCTCTTTATTTTGAGAATAGAATAATTTTGTTTGCATAAAAACGGTACAATCAAAGGTAAAATTATTTTAAAGCTCAATTTTTGTCTTGCGACAATAAGTATGAGTGCGTGTGATTTTTTATTCAGGATTTTACATTGGGTTTTTTCTTACAATTCAGTAATTAAAGATTATGAGGTCATTTTTATACACATGAGTATCGTTTATGTAAGACTGCAGCACTCAGCAAAATATTAATAATTATTTAAAATGGAGCACTTGGCCTTTGTCCAGCAGTGGAAGTCACTTGGCTGAAATGAACAAAAAAAAATAAACTAGACAAAAACTTTCTAGCATGACTCTTAACGGTCTTCATGACGATCATAAAAGTAGCTGTTGTTTTAGTAGAATGTTGTTCCAGCATTTTATGAGCAAAAAGTCTAGATATCCTTATCAGGAATAGCGTAGACATAATCCTATCACCCAAAGGACTGTGATAAAGGACAGTCACACAACGATAAAAAATAGAGCGGGATTTTTTTCGTCCTTAGCGCGCTAAGTTTATTATTTGATTGGCTTGAAATTCGTTTCTAAAACTCTAGCTAGAGTGATATTTAGTTCTTAATTAAATGTTAGACGCCTATATAACCACTTGCGGCTTGTACAAAATGAACATGATATTATCTTCAGACCCTACCGTAAAGTGTATCGCCTGTACAATCTCTCTTTTCCCTTATTTCCCTAAAAATGCTACCCCAAAAGAGCCCCTTTCCCAAATTATGGAATGAAAATATATCGTAGAAAGGTCGCGTCAAAACCCACATTTTAGGGAAAATATTATTGTTCGACCCATTGCTAAGATACATGGCTTTTGTTTATATTACAAGTAGTGTTTCTTTAATACTTTTCTTTATTTGTTGCTCTAAAATGTAAATACAACCATTTTCTTAAATCTATATGTATAAAAGAGAAAAGCCACTGATTGACTGACTCACTCATCACGAAATCTCAGAAACTACAAGTGCTAGGAGTCTCAAATTTAGCATGGGGGTTCCTTTTAGAACGTAGGTGCTCACTAAGAACGGATTTAACGATACTCCACCCCTAAGGGGGTAAAACGGGATCCACGCGTACGAAGTCACGGGCGGCCGCTAGTTACGAATATACAGTATTCCGTTCCTTTATGAGGCCTTATATTAAATTGCCTCTTATTAACTCATCGTATAGTTTTCGTCATATGACCTATTTCTAAGACACTGATATATTTTTCATTACAATAGCAAATATGTAATAAATTATGCCTATATCTTGTCATATTTCATACGTTGTATTTCTATTAATAAGGGGCTTATTACCGATGCTCAGTTTTTTAGAAGAATATTAGAGTAATTTATTTCTAACTAGCTCCTGCCTGGGGCAGGCATTTTTCTACCGAATAGTTCAGTATTTATTTATTTGTTTATGAAGAGCAAGGTTTACATTATTATATTAGGTAAATAAGGAAATAATAGTAAAGCATCAAGGGACTACTCGAGAAATTTATCATTTCACCGTCTCCAATTTGAGTCTTCCAGTGACTTGGCCCACTTTTAGCTTGGTCCATGGGCCAGGTCACTGGATTGAATTTTTAATTATTTTTCTTCCATTAACTGAGCATAAATTGAATATTTTAGTAATAAATTATCCTGCTTTCGCCTCCGAGATTTATTTTACCATGTAGTACCCCTGTACGACAACCCAATCCGCACACAATATTCAGCGTAGTAGTATTAAAAAACAAAAGAGCGGGCAACCCCACCCCTACCACGCTGTGGGCTCGGTGTCCGAGCGGTCTCATTCCTTTGTGCGCACGCGCAACGACCGCACGCAGTATAAGAAAAATGCTTAAGTGACGTCACCAGGACGTTTTTACCGACAAAAAACGTAATTATTTTAAGTTGTGCAGTGTAGTGACGAGAATTAGACCCAACAAAAGGTATTATTACTGCGCATTTAAAGTTTTGATAAATTATTTTGATTCACACTCCCACTCATAAATGCAGTAAGTTGTAACGATACGGCGCACATATTACGTTGTAAGAACTAAAGTTTTGATCAATCATTTAACACATGTACCGTAAGTAACGAAAACTACTGATAAACGCAGTAAGGAACAATCTTACTGCATTCATGGGTAATAAGTATCGAACGAAAACTTAGTTAATCCTTAACATAAACAGTTTTTTAATAATTTTAAATACAAAATATTAATTAAAATACAAAAACCTCATATCAAAATAAACTTTGAGTTTAGCTCTATAAGCCTATATATTTTTTTTTACAAATATTTGCGTAACTAATTGTAGACACCCCAAAATAAAATTTCAACTTTGATCGCGTTTTTCTCGAAACTGTTCACGTGTTACTTACTGCGTTTATAAATTGTGCGGCAGTCTCGGCTACTGATGTATTTAGCCGCCAAAACTGTTTTTTATTGGTTAGATCGATAAGCGCACGATAATGTGAGGTCGGTTTGGCGCGGAGAAACGAATTTGGCGCGAACTTATAATTTTTCAAAGAAGAAACTCACGATCGTTTCATTCAGGTGCGAAAGGGTTATCTGAATGGACAAACATGGACATATTTCAGTTGTAGGATTTTACTATTTCAGAATGACTAATGCCCATTTTCATCATCAATCCCTAATTTTTAAGTGACCCCTATGGTAAACAGCAAGAATGTTGTTTTAATAGGGTTCACTTAAAAATAGGGATTGATGGTGAAAACGGGCATAACTGTCCTGATTGCACACTTGGCCGAGTATTAATTAGTAAAAAACTGCATTATTGTATGCTTATGCTCATACAAAAATAAAACTCACAGATATTGAGCAATTCTGAGAAACATTCAATGTAGCACTTTAGAGTAGATTGTCCGCTGCCTGTGTAACTTTGTATCTTAATAGTAGGTATGCTTTGTCACTGATTTTGATAAAAGTTGATCATAATGTCTTCAGGTTACAGAGTTGATCATGTGTATTATTAACCTCATCAATCTCTACACCTCTTAAGAACTCAAAGCTTGAAACTAAATCATCATATTTTAGGTTTTCGTTCTCTCAAGAATTTCTCCCATCCACTCAAAACATTTCACTTCATCTGTACTACTTTGAGGATTCAAAAAAGGAGTCACTAAATAATTTATTTATTAAATTCTTACTAAAGTAGCCACTATCTCCTAATAAATGGCTTATATTTTCCTCTTTCAAAATCTGCACACAAATGGGAATTGTTCAAAATTGTAGAATCATGTACAGATCTGGGCCATGTAACAAATTAAATCTCTTATTTTTAGAGAGGCATCACAATTCATCACATACAGCTTGTATGTTAATGGAAAAATGCCCATTTCTGCAACAATATAGTTCAATGTCAATGACCCTCCTCGGGTCCTAGTAATTGTAATAATTCTGATAATGAATCTTGGGTGTCTGCACCCGTGGAAATCCAGCAATCTCATAAAAGCTTTCTGCAACTCTTCTCAACTGGCATTTAAATATAATCTGAGCTTAGATCTGCAAGCTAGCGCGTCACTTTCTGTAACACTAAGAGTAGGCGCACACCGTTGATTTTTAATTGGCCGATAGTTGTGCCCGATTTTAAATTGTATGAAGAATCGGCCAAATCGAATCGGCGTAGACATGCCCATACTGATCAACTGCCCGACTAAACTATCGGCCGACGAAAAATCAACGGTGTGCGCCTACTCTAACAGCGTGTCTATTTAATGTAATAGTACGTCGGAAACTGAATCTTTTATCGACTGGGCCCATTCTTCTTTAGCGCTATGTAGATAATCAGGGTACCACCATGCATAAATTACACTTAAAGGATGTCCAAAAATTAACGCAACTTTTAAATTTGCCACCATTTATGCAATAAAGTGTTGACAATCCTAAATATAAAACAAATCGACAGCTGTTTAGGGTTACTAAAAATGTAGCGTTACACGATAGAATAACCTATCTTCGTCCGCAGTTCGAAAATTTCATACAAAATATGGTCGAAATAGTGTTTTAACTTCGTGAATTGTGAAGAGATGAATCGAGAAATTCCGGGAGACAGGATCTGTTGGAGACTCCAAACATGTCTTCTTTTTCCTCCTCGTTTCTTCCAAAAACAAGTCGTTAAAATGTCAATATCGAAGCAGTCTTAGATTAATAATTAACTGCCTCTGTGGTCTAGTGGTAAGACCACCTGCTTCAGACGCAAAGGTCCCGGGTTCAATTCCCAGTGGGGGCAGATTTTTCTGTTCGGTTTGGTTGGTGGTAGGGCTTATTCTAAGTCCGCCTGGCTAGCTACCACCATCTTACCTAAGTCTGTCGCCATAACAACAATGTTAACAGCATTGTTGTGTTCCGGCAGTTAGAGGTAAGATAGCCAGTTCCTCCGTGGTTGAGGATTCCGGGTGAAGCTCGCTTCCACCTTCGGCCTGATCATCACTTAGCATCAGGTGAGATACAGGCTAAGAGCTTCCTCGTTGTGGATAAAAAAAAGCTTTATAAATGCACCAGTTTGGGCTGACTAAGCTACTATAGGAGCCGCTAGACGTAAACTACTCCAAAGTCAACGCCTTTGACTGACTTTGCAAAGCTTATAGAACTGTGAGCACGGAAGACACTTGCATCTGTGAATCAGCTTCTACTTCTACTATCTACTTCTTTTTCGGGGTTAGCCGCCAGCTGCTCATCATCAGGCAATGGGCCTCGTGGTCTGGCCAAAACTGTATTTTTGGCTAAGACTCAGTTTATAACACTTTGTACGCAACTCGTAATGTCGTTCATCATAATCTTGAGGGGATTGGTCTTACAAAACATTGTCACACATTGTTTAGGCCGTGTCTCTTTAAAACCGCGCTAAACTTCGTTCACTCTTATACTCGTACGTTTTTATGCATGCCTGACTTATAGCTGATTTTTCAATCGTCGGATAACTTAACTGAAGAATAAGTTTGGCACATGACAGTTTTTCTTCAGTTAAAAAAAGATATCTGACAATTGAAAAATCAGCCCTTAATGAAATATTTGCTGGTAAAGAATCAAAATGTTTTTTATCTCAGATGTTTTGTTGTTAAAAATATCCGTTGGTGATCACTAATCAGTGAAGAACTTTAACCAGTGAAGTGATTGGAATCAACGAACAGACCGAACTTGTCATCTTTAAACTGCCATCATTCGTGGTAAAAATTAAAAGTTGCAACAATATGGATAAAATTAAAAGTCGTTTCCGTTCCGAAAATTGGACTCGAGAAGAAAAGGTACACGTAAAACATTGCTCCTGTACCCGTTTTCTTTCACCATCAATCCCTAATTTTTAAGTGAACCCTTTGTAAACAAAATTCCTATTATTTCTTGCCATAGGGGTCACTTAAAAATTAGGGATTGATGGTGAAAACGGGCACTAGTCTCATAAAATTACCGGCATGGCTACAGAATGTCTCAAAATGTTGTTTCATCTTATAGGACTTACTCCTGGAATTAATGCGGGACTCATCCCATATTGTCGATAATAAGCAAACCGACACAGATACTAACAGACGCAAACACTTGGAATGGCTGAAGATACAAAACAGGTGAATAGGTTTTTTATACAGGTAAAACTTGGTGTAACTAGGGTTGCCAGGCGTCCGGATAAAGCCGGACATAGTTAGGCTTTTTGATTGCGTCTCCGGCCAAAATAACAGATGACCGGCCTGTCCGGCTTTTGTTAGGCTTTTTATTTGGCTGCGAAAGTCCGCGCCAGGCGAAAGTAGAACCACAGAATAAGGCACGCACGCATCAGGACGTTAGGCAACCGATGATGATANGATAGTACTCATTCGTGAGCTCACTAATTGCCCCCCCCCCCCGTCGCATGTCCGGCTTTTAGGGTAAAATGTCCGGCCAAATGAAGCACATAGTCCGGCTTTTGTGTTTTTGGAACTGGCAACCCTAGGTGTAACTAATGTACAAGTACAGTCGCGGAATGAAAAGGTTCGTCAGTTTTCAAATTGATTCCTTCAACGAATCGCGAGCACATATTACCTTTTGAAACTATGTTACTGAATAATCTCGAGTTAGAGGAAATAATCTTTAACTGTTCGTCAGTAAAGTTCAAATTATTCAGATCAAAGTTGTTTGACGATTCATCTTGTCAAGAAGATTGTTATGATTGATAAACTAAAACCTTCTTGTTGGTTCAACCTGCCATTATTATTTCTTTTAAATAAAAAAAACTATTGTCAATTGGTCAATGTCATCATTGCATTGCACTGATGGTATAGAAAAATAAACAAGCAAAACCTTATTCATTAGCAAACGTCATATTTATTTAAATGTAAGCAGCACTGTTTCTTGTACTGTTATGTTGGCAGGCTTGACTCTTACAGTACCTAGTGCAAGCGAAAACCGACACTAAGGTGACGAACCTTTTCATTCCCCGACTGTACATTAACAGATTTTTGTGATATGTATTTCAGTTTAGCTGAAATGACTGGAAAGATACGAGATGTTCCTCAACTAAAGGGACGTTGGAGGAGAATGAAAATGGATGCAAAGAATAATATTTTGCAAAATGAAAAATCTGAAAGGCTGACTAATGAAGGAAACAGCTCACAATCGTCTTCAGAAGATGATTTTTTATGCACGTCGCGAATGGTATTTTTTATGTGATTACTTCATTCGTATCTACAAAACTCGTACAAGCTACAATATTTTATTTAGTACCTATTTATTCAAATTGTTGTGAATGTTATGAAATAATTATTTCAAATTTTCAGGATCATGCATTGAAGTAATATTACTACGTATAGAACAGACATCGCGAACAAAATATGTACAGTGCGGGGTGCGGGGCGGGAATTTGACGGACAGCTGTCAGTCAAATTCATGACTATCAAGTTTCATAATTTATGGCGATAAAATCTGCACCAGAAAATGTCGTACTTCATTGATAGGATTGCACGAATAGTGACGTTCCTGCGGTCGCCTCATCATAGACATTGTGAAACGATTGTGAAAATAAACAAATCGGCTAAATTGTGTTAAATTTTCATGGTGCTCAATAGCAAAAAGGTTCAGCTACTTACATTATTTTCTTTTATTATATTGTGCGTTTCCTGTAATGTAATCTAAGCTCCCCTCCCTTAGACTAAAATTAGCCCTCCTAGACAAGTGACAAAACGTAGCAGTTGAAACATTCGAAATCACTTCGCTCTGCCGTTTTTTGGTGTTAGTTACTTCACTCTGTGATGCGATTTTAAAATTACAACTGGCGATTCCGAATTCACAACTGAGGGGACTGAGGCTAATCGTGTTACTTGTGCTACAAGTGCGTATGGGCTTCATACTGATGCTTAAGCCATTAATTATTTTTCTTCCCGATTAAAATCTAATGTAATCGATAATCGCCTTGAGAATCGTTAACTGGTATTTTCTAATTCGATAAAAAAATTACCCATCTCTAGTTTAAAACTGTCATCCAACAGCGCACGAAATATTATGAGTTATAGATAATGATACCATTACAGAGGCGACACTTCGTTTACGTTTAGTTTCTGCCTATTGAATTGGATACTGTAAGGAAACATCGTCATCATCATTTTAGCTACTGGACGTCCACTGCTGAACAAAGGCCTCCTCTAATGATTTCCACATCGCCCAGTTGATAGTGGCCTGCACCCAGCGTCTTCCTGCTATCTTCAGTCAGTCCATCTTGAGATTTTAGAAAAATTCCCACTCGTCACGGTAGGAACAAAGCTAGGGATGACCCACGCCTTCACTCCAGAACCAATAAAATAACTGAAAGTCAGAAACTTTCAGTTATTTTATTGTCTCTATTGTTAACTATCTCAGTGGTTGAGTACACGTATAATAGCTGTGAGGTAGAAGTTACGGGACTATTCCCACCTCTCCTTTTCACCGCTGCATCTCCTGTGTAGCTAGCACCTAGACTAGTTGATTTAAAGCCAAGGTATATCAGTTTTTAGGTAATGACTTAGTGCATCTAAAAATGTAAAACTTTCTAGTTTTTTGTAACATTGAAAAATCTAAAAAGAAGCATCATTTTTTTTACCAAGTGTTTCTAAGAAATTTAAATGGAAGCTTTTGATGACAACGTATTGCTTACTTTTTCAGCTGTCGAACGAATCACTTTTATACTCATAGGTCCTGTACATCGGTAGATTTGGTAAATAAATGAATCCATCCGGACTCAGAAACTAAAAAAATTAAAATAGCTGTAATTTTTTAATACTGGATTTGTCGATTAAATTGATCATATTACTGCGCCCTAACGGGTCGGACACTGGTGACCAGACACACTGTACAATTATTATAATTTTAGCCTATCTCGTGAGCTAGGTGTCAATAATTAGGGTGATTTACTAACTAACCAGTCGCATACGAACAACAGCAGTGAGATTCAAACAAGTTTGATCCATGATGCCGCACGACTATTGTGTGAGCCCACCCGTAACCCAAGCTTATTTAGCTTAACACAAGGGGCTGGACGGGACTATTAGTAATTTGTGCAATACAAAGTGCTTATAATCTTTAAAAAAATCTTTTTATTGCTGTATTTAACCTTCCTTTCGTATACTAATTTATGCGTCAGTGTCAAGTCTGCGATTTTTATTCTTTGAAATTTTCGTAAAATGGCTGCCGCCGCGGTGCGCCTTGTAATTAACAAATTAAAATTAAATTAGTGTTTTAAAGTGCATAAATGTACAACTTAATGGTAAAAAGTCATTCCTTGATTTTTACTTAATATGTATCTGGAGTTATTTGAACAGTATTTTCGTCTATAGGATGGCATATTTCAAAAAACAAAACTGCACTCAAGCGTGTTGTCACAGCAACCGCTGAGCACATACTAATTGAATTTCGGTCCGTGGACCTATTTAGGTGCCAGAAACAGTCTAGTTGACATGTCTTCTCTAGTACGTAGTACATTATAACTCAATGGGATCATGTTGAAAACGAACAAAATATAGAGGAAAATCAAGGGAATGATCATTTAACGAAAATTCATGACTTCAAGCGTCGTAAGACTGAGTGAGTATTCTTATACCTACGAGTCATTTAACATAAATGAATTTAAGAAATCAATTACAGAACAGAGTACAACATTTATTATTAGAAGTTCATAAAGAAAGGTGTGCAAGTAAATGTTTACACGGATTAAAGCAATATTTAATTTTGTTTTCAGAACCAGTCATAGAAGCATGGTTTTGGCGGGTAACATTGACTTAAAAAACTATACAAAAACACTTATGAAGGAAGAGCATGAGCTGAAGATGGAATATCATAAGTTAGAATTAAGCCACCAACAGGCGCGCCATAAATTGGAAATTGATGTTTTATTATTAGAGAAGGAGAAAAAAGAGTTGGAAGTAAAATTATTAAAAGACAGATTAAAAGATTAAAAATCTTGATAAATAAAATTTCTTCTTATTACTATCCCCATAATGTATTATATCACTTTGATTTAGTTGTTGTGGTGGTCTTCGATGTCGGACATATTGTGTAGTACAGCTAAGGCTACAATAGTTGCTTCGGCAGTGCTCAGCTTCGTATGTAGGTACACCTCATAATTGACGTCTGAGCTTTTGTTTTAACAGACCTCTATTGTATCCCTGGTCTTAATATGTGCTTTATTATAAGCTTCCTCTTTTCCATTTGTTGGGTGTAGCAGTAGTGTGAATTAGAGTGCAAGCATAAATCCACTATCTCCAAAAAGTCTTCCATGGAATTCTCCATTCTCAAATCTTTCCTACAAACCACCCGTTAAAAAGTTGTGAGTCGTGGACAGTTCCTGTTAAGAATTTTAAAAAAGTCCTTTGACTTAAGGATTAGTCTATTCTTGAAAGTTTTACATTCATGATAGGTTGAAGAGCAAAAAGTCGAAAAAGTGAGCTGCGCGCTCGAGTGTTGGATGCAAGATGGCCGGCGACGCCGATGGAGGCATTAGTTTTAGTACCTAACGTCCGGCGAGGGGTGAAAACTGTGGAATGCGCACTGCGCGAACACTTCCTCTTCATCTTTTTACTAATTCTAATTTTCTTTTGAACAAATATCGTCAGTGTTGAAACAGATTGATTCAAGTGTTGTCTGAGTATCTCGAAAATTGTTCATATAATACAAATTCTTTCATACATTCTATTCTTTCATATTCATAGGAATCAATGGCATCTATTTTGTGCCGAAAGCCGCATATTTCACGGACAATAACTTACTCTTTTCAGTTAAGTTTCGGGGCATATAAATAAAAAACTTAGCTATTTTCGCCAAGGCTAGCGCTACACGACGACATAAATGGTTGTAATTGACTGCTGACTCAAGCCGTGTAGGTCGGCAGCATCGTCTTGTACTTCTTGGAGTGCCCATGTCCGCAGAGCTGTTAACACTTGCAGCTCAGGAGATATTCCACATCCTCTGCGGTCTTGTAGGATGTCACTTCGAATGACATTTACTATTTTTAGGACATAATCTTTGCTGAACCTGTATTTGTATTTGAATTCCGCATCAGATCAAATGTCAATTTGATTAAGGTAGTGCATGTAGTTCAATTCCTTTTACAGTAGCGTCGTTATTATTGCCACCCGCCGTGTTTTGATCCAGGAAAACTTCATTTTTTTCTACAGTAACTGTAGAAAAATTCGCGACATTTCTCTATGAGAATACGAACATTCAAAATTTGTTCGCGAGTGCCCTTTCCTGCAACAAATCCGGATTGCTCACTCGGTATATGGTGATCTACAAATGATGATAGTCTCGTGTTAATAATGCGAAGCATAATCTTGCTTGCATGCGACATAAGAGACAGCGTTCTGTAGTTTTCGCGTTTTCGCGTGGAACCTTTTTTGTGCAGAGGAACAACAGCAGATTGAGTCCAGTCATCTGGCCTTAATATCACAATATTATTATTATCGAAATGCACATATTGCAGATTTTAAATTTGTGCTAGTTTCTCAATGCAATGCTCCAGTGAAATTTATTGGTCGGCCAATTCACGTATAATTTTTTCAATCTTTATTTGGCTTCTTCACTCCTTTTTGTGATATAACTATTTTTTTATCAAATGGTGAAAATAATAATAGTTGGTGTCTTTTTGCACTACAAAAATTCAAAAACACTGCGATATTTGGCTTTGCTTTAATTTTTTTATTCAATCTCGAATTCCATGATTCTGTGACGTTAGTTATTACTTGGCATCGTAAAAACACCATTTATGAGACAGGGAAGATTTAGAGCTCAGCCAAGTGTTAAAATAATTATTGAAATTTAAGACTTTTGTGTTTTTACTAACCATTTCACCGAGAATGTATAGCCAGCCATCTGCTACAAATTGGGTGGGTAAATAAGAAAGCGCCATGCATTGTCGGACATGACACTTCCACAATTTTGATCTATTAATGTCATTTTTTTTGCATTTCTCAAAACAGCTTGTTTAAAATGAAACAGGCACCCTTGAGATTTTGTATTCGGCAAGACATTCTTCACTGCATTCATTGCACTGATTTCAGTCAGTTGTAACTTTTTCAGGTTCAAGTTCCGGTACTTGACTTTTACAAAGTCTAAATAATGTTTCGTAGGTACTTTGTTTTTTATCTGGTAGGAGAGCGTAAACTGTAGGTATGATATTCATATCATTTTCATTAGTACTTCCCAAGTCTACTACACGTAGAAATTTGATTAAAAAGAGGAACAGCGCACTTGAACGTTCCATCGCAATATATTTCTTTAGCATGCCGCAATACCTCTCTGCCTTCTTTGCTACAAAACACTAGTATTCTAGTATTTTTTTCGTAATCGTAATAGTCAGCAAATAACAAGTCCTTGAATTTTCCGGGAATACACACGTCTTTCAATTTATAAAACCGTATTTTTTTTGTTTCCAGCGATTTATTTCGATGTTTATAAAGAGTTTTTTTAATATTTTAATGTTTTTCTCTACTGACTTATCGTCTTCTCTGTTTTAAACCAGCAAGCAGATTCAGGGTGGTAGCGAATTCCTTTATTTAATTAACTTTTCACAAGTCTTGCATGCTCTTTTATCTTCATTTCTACTATTGTTGTTGTTTACTCTTGGGTCTCCATACTTTCTGTAGTTCAAATTATTTCTCTTATTTACCAGATATTCCAACTTTCTCACTTCATTATAAAGATCAACTGTATCTTTCAATGTCTCTCTTTCAATCCTGTTAAGTACGTGTTCTGGTAAACCAGCTGCAATGAGATCTATCAAGGTACCTGTATCAATTAGGGCTATCGTTTTAGCGCTCACCAGTTAGCGAGTTCAAAATACGTAGAAAACTTGACTGAATTGATGTATCAAAAGAAATGGTCGTACTACAATATATCCTACTTACAATGAAACTTTAACCTAAAAATGTCCTATGTAAACAATGCCTGTTTTGGTCACCAAATCGCAAAATGCAGTAAATTTGTTACTTTAGGTAGATTATAAACAAGCAGTAACACGATTACGTACCCGTCAAAGATGCTGTTCGCCCTTAAACATCATCCAAATCCCACAAAATTTGACCATTGCTGGAAAACTTTAAAAATCACTTTCCGCGTGGCACTCCAATTTACTTTACTCATTGTTTATACTTTTCTTCGTAGCTGAGTAATAATTTACTGGAGATTAGTCAAACAATAAAAACCACAAACTTGTTCTCGATGACAGCTGATGTACATATGTTTGGTGAACTTTGGTGTTGCCAGACACATGAATAATGTTAGTTCCTCAAACATTCATGTCACGACTTTATAGACAGACTGTACCTGGAGGTGCACCGTGCATCATCAAATTCTTGAAGTTTTTTCATGGAAAAATTATAGCAGGGAGCAGGGCGTGGCCTGTAGCACTAACCAAACAGCATGTGGTGACAAGAGTGCCCTTTTCTCCACTTGTCACTACCCACTTTGGATCCTGTTGGAGCTACAACTTTTTGAGGCTTCTGGACGGTGGTTGTGCCGGTTTCGTCAAGGTTGAAAATACGAGTTCCATCCGTAAATATGAGTTCCCGTTTGAGTATTTCCTCTAAATTATTAAAAAATGTTTTTACTGCTTCACGGTTAAATGAAGTGGCTCGAGCGAGACTTACAGCTTCTGGTTTCTTTACTGAAATATCGGGATGTCTGTTTCTGAAGGATCGAAACCATTCTAATCCTGCCAATCTATCTCTTTCCCACGAACTTGCCACTTACTTTAATGTCATTCACTTTTGCCATTTTATACGCCACCTCCCTACATTCTTTAACGGTCAAACCATAGAACATTTGTGCACAGTCCTTGTAGTATTTTAATAGTAACTGTTCATATTCTTCAGTGAACACTTTGTTGACATCATACCTAGGCACAAGTGATATATTATCACCACGTTCACGTTTGTTTTGCACGTAACGTCGTAATGTAGGGTACGGGATTTTGCAATTTTTTGCTGCCTTCCTAATAGAGGTGCCATCATCTACCATCTTTAAGGCTGCTTGCATCTCTTCTCTTTTATGTTTCCCTATTTTACGTTCCTTATGCTTTTGCATTCTAAAACAAATTGAAAAAAAAACAATTTTTAACATTAAACTATCAAGGAACAAGGAACATTTTGGTCTGCATAGTATACAGTGAACCGGTTCACTGTGTACTTTGAAAACCTGGTACACTGTTCAAAACATACACTATTCAACTTATGAGTCCACAAACAATAAGAAGTAGGTACGCGGAATGGTCATCACGGAATGTGCTCATTAAACAGATAAAACTACAATAATTTTGATACCAAATAGATTTCGTACTTAATATAAATAGCAAAATATACAAAAATCGTATTCGGTATTGCTCCATTCGGCCCAGGGTATCACGTGAATTCACGTGGTTACACATTGGCGATGACCACCAGGTCTCGCAACTTTGACTGCCTCGTGGTACTTTGGATTGTTATTGTAACCGCCATGTCTTCTTATTGATCCAAAAAATAATTCCAAGTAGTCTTGGCTTATCCGTTACATAGATAGGTATGTAACTAAACATCTCCTTTTCCTTAACTATGTAGTTGTATATTATGGCACCAATGAATCTTCAATAAGTTTTGTACATAATGGACATTTCAGGTTAACGAGTGTCCTTCTTATGTGTAATTTACTGATAACACTTTTTCTTTCGAGAAGATTTTGCAATACTGTTATCATTTCTAAAGCGGTTTTAGTGTTTTACAGTTTCTAGATACCTGTCGCTTCGATGTTGTACTATTAGGGGTCGCAATACCGAATCATTTCAGCAAAACCGGTATTTTCGGTATTGGCTCCAGACGAATACCGATAATCCGGTATTTTCGATATTTCCGAGATTAAGCTTAATTTAGCAAATTTAGTATAATAAAGTTAGTTTGCGGAGGTATAGTAAGTAGGTACCTAACCTAAATTAATTTATCTTCTA